TAACTTTTTTACTCATATCTTTTTTTATTTTATAAGTGAATATTTATTTTATTAGTAGTACTTTTTACTTAACGGGTGATTTTTTATTTCTTATTTTATTTTTACATAAAAGTGAATTTTGGTCTTGTAAGTGATTTTTTATTTATAAGTAAAATTTTAGTTATAAAATATATTTCTTTGCTATTATATATTTTATTTATAAGCAGTTTTTGTAAATATTATTGAATTTTTTTCTTGTAAAATAATTGTTTTAGAGAGGGTAAAATTGAAAGAGATTTTGAAAAACAGCCAAAAAACCACCTATTTGGTGGGTTGAGAAGTACAACTCAAATTACAATATAATGGTTTTGGGTAGTTTTTAAATCACCCAAGACCAGTGCCCTAAAGGCTAACAAGCATGAGTGCTCCTTAACCTCTCCGGAGCTACCAAAAAATGTTCAAAACCCGTTAAAAAAACTCCCAAGCATACACTTATTAGGGTATATAGGGATTTGCCAAAAATTGGAAAAAGAGGTCTTTCTTTTTCTTTCCCCGAACTTGGTCCTCAGACAATTTCCTCTTATTTTATATCTTATTATATTATGTGTATGACCATACCTTATAACCATAAAGCTCTTCTTAGGATGTAATAAAACAGTAATAGAACCATCTATCAGAGTATTACCTTACGAACAATGAGTCCTCTAAATTTTTATTATAAAAAGCCCATGTTGTGCACTCAGTGAATAGTTTCTATTTAAATTCTTAAGGCTCATTATCATTGTTGGACCTTCAGCTAATGGGACGTTGGTCTATGGTTTATCTTCTCCGATTAGCTTAGGCTTTACTCTTTACTCTTTACTCAAACACCACAATCTTTTGCTCTATGAAGTTCTGCTTTGTCATTCCTGCTAATTGATTCCTTTAAGGCTGTATGTTATCCACTCTTTGACACAGTTCAGTCAGATCTTTTTGCTGATCTCTTAGAGATGATGACTAGGATGACAATTTGGGCACTTAAAGATGCTAAATTTGCAATCTTCACTTCTGCCTAAATGGATCCTTATAATTATAAAACTTTCCAACCTTCTAATATTCTATCTGATATTCCAGGTTTTTTTCTACCAATAGCTTAAAGCTTTTTAATCTTTCAAAAAGCTCAAGGCATAACATTTTGGGTGACCTTTTATGGGATAGTTAATTTGGTTTGCAATATTTACGTACATAGGTTTCTAAACAGCAATACCATCTGCAGGAGTTTTACCAGCTATGCTTCCACTGCCCATGGCAGCTCTTGTCAGCTTAACCATTACTTTCAAACTTGATAAGAGCTTGGAGTACATCCACGCTGTTGCTGGACCTGCTTTGGAGAACTGTGCTGCGAGTTGTGCATGGCCTAGCATGCCTATAATTTGTTCTTTGTGGGCCCAAAAAGTTCATAGCTGGCATGATTTTATCATTGTATCTTGTTCGAACTCTGTTTTCAGACAGAATGGGGAAGCTGTTTCTCAGCTTTTGCGGAGTTGCTTTACCTCATTTCTTGGATCATTCCATCCTGCGACCTCATTATTGTCAACTGGAAAAAGTGTAAATCGTCTCTTGGGTAACTTCATCTCAGGCCGAGGCTTTCAACCCCCTGTAGCGCCTGGGTTTCTGTATCTTCGGTCTTGTCGCACAATACGCCATATCCAACATGTGAATAATGTGATTGTAGGTCTTGTAGCTGAGTTTTCACGCAACTCAGCTATGCAATGGGCAAGAACAGGCTCTCCACTTTTGAAATCTGGTCAACCATCTTTAGCTGTCGCTGCTTCCCAGGCAAAGGAGGTGGCCACACTTGGTGCAAGTCTCTTATGCGTAGCAGGTGGGCTCCGCCTAGTCCAAGAGTTATACGAAGAAACTCTGCCTACTTGGTTGCTCTCTGCAGGAAAAGGAAAATGGGGTGAGGCGAGAGCAGTATGCCAGATATTGGAAGGATATGCAATGGCGTATTTGTTGGTTTTATCTGGGGCTTTCGTATGGGGCGTTGGTGCCAAAAGACCTTCACGGGGACTTTCTAGAAGATCTAGTATTGTTGGTACCCACATGGACTTTATAGCCGGTGTGCTCAATGGTAACTTATTGCTTGAATGTGATCCGATCACCTGGAAAGCTTATGTCTCTTGTTTGGTGGGTTTAACTGTGAGTTTTGCGCCCATATGGATTCAGGAAGTGAAGCCTGAGACGTTGAGGATATTGGCTAAGGGATTAAGAGGATGGCACGAGAGTGAACTTGCTCTAGCTCTCCTTGAAAGAGGTGGGACAGCAACTATGGGATTAGTGGCCGAAATGCTGCTCAATTCTGTCCTGGACAATTGATGCTCCTTCCCAAATGTACAGTCATATCCTTGAAAGCAAGGGTAGGTGTTCATCTATAACTTGCTTCAACAATGACAGTTTTATATTTAAACAAGAGGGCTTCTTACCGATTTTTCCATGAAATTTGGAGAAAATATTTCCTGTTAAATATCCTTGATATATTATTATGAAAATGTACTAGAAGTCTTAACCCTTTAAAGGGAACTTAGACGTTATGCATTGTTGCGTTTATTATAATATTTATTACTACCTCCGTCCTATAAAGATATACTTGTTTTTATTTTTACACAGACTAAGAAAATGTAATTAATATAGTTGGAAATATAATTTTTCTTACATTTTTCCTAATATATCCATGCATTAAGTAACGATTTAAATAGAATTAGTTTTTATTTGTTGATAACAAGGTACATTAAATATAAGTATATTAAAAAGTTAAAAAAAAAATCTATAATTTTAATAAGGAAATTGACGTATAATTTGGCCATTATGTATAATTTGATTCGTATTCCATGATTGTTCCTTAGCTCATTGGCCAAAGGTTGCATTCTTAGCAATCATGTCCATTTGCTCAGACTCGACTAGTGGAGATNTCCATGATTGTTCCTTAGCTCATTGGCCAAAGGTTGCATTCTTAGCAATCATGTCCATTTGCTCAGACTCGACTAGTGGAGATACGACTTGAGTTGTTGCGGTTCTCAATCTTCCTACAAAAGTTGCAAAATGGTTCAACATATAAAAATCTTAAGTTGGAATCTCATTGGACTCTGATGGAGTAATGTATACGTTGTTCTAATGAATGTACCATTGATGTACATGTTGGATTCAGATGAAGATTAAATTGCTACAAAAGTGAGAGATTGAGCATTTAGCTGTCAAAAATTAAAGCTTGAGGACCCATTATTAAAACACCCTTAAGTTGAGGATCTTTTCTGCAATTTTCTCTCTCAATAGAAAGCCATGCAAGTTTACACGGATAATTACCGGAACAAGATTTGAGAAATACTGAAAACAAATTTGACCCGGCCACCTTAATTGAACTTCTCTTTTTCTCAAATTATTTAATTATAAATTGTTCAAACTTATGTAGAAAGAATTTGAAAAATGGGAAAGAGCCAAAGCAATAAAACAAAACGAAAAGCTGTAAATTTTGATTTCGTCGAAACCTTAATGTCTAATGTCAAATTCTTTCTGTTATGGCTCCGCCTACCAACGCGGAAGATTTGTACTATAGCGGGAATAGGGGCGGACCCACATGGGGTCATGTGGGGTCAAAATTTTGCCCCTGTATTTTTTTTTTTTTACAATCTACTTTTATGTACTCGTCGGGATGTCAAATGAAGTTAAAATATTACATTTTTAATACCATTTCGAAGTACTCATGACTTAGTTTTTAACTCATTAATGGCATGCGAAGTAGTCAACTATAACAAAAGTTACATGTTAAAGTAGGGTGTTTGAAACTAGTATTTTGAGAATTTAGATAATATCTTAACTTGAAAAATTTGTTTGCGATTATGTGCTATCTGAATCCACAAATCGTCTATGCCATGTAAAAGTTTGTTTCGAAAACTACATCGTTTTCATATCGAATGGTTCAAACGGATATCGAAAATAGTTAAATATGTATCAAACGTACGCCTCAGAAAAGACGTCTAACTCATTTTTTCTTTTAAAAAATTCAATTAATTATTATTTTTGCACGATAAATTTTTCAATATAATTTATATCGTTTTATTCGGAAGTCTTACATGAAATATGACATAAATTTTTTAGAGTCGTTACGGATTAAATGCAATTTGAATTAATTTCGAATTATATTTGCTTTAAATTTGAATTTCATTTACTTCTTGAACTAAACTTGAATTTTATTTCAATTCATTTAATTTCTATATTCAATTTAATTTACTCAATGTTAGCTCAGCATTTGTCAATGAAATGATAAACAAAAGTAAACAACTAGCAAAACTTATTTAATAATATTAATAATGATGTAATTATACGACATTTTCAAAGTGTCAAAATACATATAAACTTATTTTCATTGATATTATATTGTTTATTAAAAAATTATTTTTAAAATTTTGATCCCACAATACCAAAGGTCTGGATCCGCCCCTGGCGAGAATTAAAGATTAATGGCTACAAACACGTTTTGGTGGATAAATCGCGTTTTGACAAATTATGTAGCGTTTATTCATGCAAATTACACTTCATCAAATTCTATGCATAAATAAATACACGAATAATGCTATTTATCTATAGAGTGATGATCATCTTTAGTTTACATGATAACAGAATCATTGTCATCTTCATTCGATAATATATGAGTGATCTTATTTACAAATAAACAGATGAATAATAGTACTGTATATCCATCTTCGGTTTGCAGGTGACTTCTTGTATTATTTCTTGAATATATGGAGCTTGCTTCATAACGGGCAACGTTATAGTATTAAATTGACGAGTAACCAATTTTTATTGGAGTAATGTTATTTAGTGGTCGTAGGGTGTATCTAGGCCTGTTCAATGATATTAATATGCATTTTAATTCATTGAACAAGTTTAGGTAGGGGCCTCGTCTGTCCCTGAACTAGGATTTGATAGCTTCCTAATAACCCGAGATGAGATTAGACCCAAGAATTCATCCCAAGCACGATCCATGAATTTGAGGATTTGTTAATAGATTTCAGCATACAGTTTCAAAAAAGATGTTACATAAAAATTGGCAAACTACATCGGAGACATTATAGTTATGAACATAGAAGAGGGGAAAATGGCTTGATACAAATGCGATCTAGGATAATTACGAAGGCCATTACAAGCTCTGGCTCCATACCAGGTTGCACCATTAGAGTAAACACGTCGTTGCTTAACACAAGAGTCGCATTTACTGTTTTTCTCGATATCTTAGCCACCACCTCGCCGGTGGCGCCTCTGGTGATCTTGCAACTCCGTCGTCCAAATGATCCCTCGATTTTGAAATCTGGTGGCGCTGTTTGGTTGCTTTCATCTATGTGGATTTCTGCCTCGGATGCACTCGTGTGAATTAGATTTGAGGAAGGTCTTCTCATCGTGAATAGCCTCGACGGCGTCGCATTCTTCGAACAATCGAGTTCGCCTCTGTATCCATTCCACTGATTCTTCATGCTCAATGCCTGCACACAAATTCCTAGGGTTAATTTTGGTTTTCTCGATCTCGTAAATTAACATGCACATGAATGAATATATGCACTGATGTATATACCTTTGGTTTCACCGTCAATAGAGGCTTCCCCGATCCGTCCATGAGAAGCAGTCCGCCAGCAGCGGCGAAACACCTATTTCTGGCGTAATTCTCCACCCGGAAAGCCAATTTGCCGCGGTGATCAAAAACTGTAAATCCATCAGTTCCTTGGAAATTCATGGTGGATCTCTTCCACAAAGTGAAGAGAGAGGGCGGACTTGGAGGATGAGAATCTCCCGGCGAGAACTTTTCGGTCGGATGAATCCTGGACATGGATATTTGCAAAAATTACGAGAAATCTTAAGCTTTCTCAAATTTGGCGATGAAAATGGTGGTGGTGTTGGGTTTTCTCAATATAAACGACGAGGTAAAGTTCCATCCTATAATATATTAAAATGAAGAGATCAACTACCCTATTATAGAGCCCTCTTTAATATTTTATTGTCGATAAACTCTTTTTCGTCTCGTCATAACAAACTCTTTTCCGTCTGGTCTTAACATTTTAAAATGAAATTTCAAATTTCGACAGTAATTTTTAAAATGAAGAACACTACATATGTCATAATTAAATCAATTACTTTTAAAATTGTCTCTTTCAAATTTATAATTTATAGGAAGAAAGGTAGAAAGAAGAGAATTAATGTGCGTGGAAAGGTAGACCCAAGTTTGGTTGTCTTAAATGTCTTGTTATACTTAGTGCTTAACTAATCACTTCGTAGGACCCCCACCCCTACATTTTAATAATTCTTTTTATTTTAATTTTTTTCCTTTCTCGTGTGAAAAAAATATATATAATAAATTTGTCTTTTTTTGTTTAAAGAATGAAATATATATCCCAATCACATGCATTTCCAACTCGACTCCTGGTTAGTTTTTCTTAATTTAGGTTAATGACGTCAGTAAAATGATAAAAAAATTATTCTTTTAATATTTTATATATATTATATATGCATTTTTTAATTTTTTTTTTTTGTTAAATCCGTCGGTAACTATCTTTGACTTTAATAAAAATGAAAAATATTTTACATTGAGAATATGTCGCTATATACATCGAGAGTTTGCATAACTGTTAAGTGTGTTTTTATTTGGTAGCCCAAATAGATAATTTATCCTTTGTTTTAGTGTTATTCTAAAGATTCATTAAGAACGTGAAAAACCAGTTCAAAGAATAAAGATGAATGTAATTTGAATCTTTAATTAATTGAAGTTAGAGAATATGTTGAAAATGATAGGTTACCAATATTATTGAATAATGCTATTAACCTTTTTGTGGTTATAACTTCAGTCTATATGATGATAGGTGATAGGTTAAATAAAAAATGAAAATCATTTCGTGTCACATTATTGTCGTATAGACTGGAATTATGATTCCAGTAAAGTTAAATAGCATTACTTAATAATCTTTGAAATATTACCATTTGATTGACTTGCCCATATTTTGGGACTTCCAAGTATGAACAAGTTTGGAATTCTGTGTGATTGATTAAACTAGCTAGTAAACCATGTGTGTGCTTATACCACCTATGAATAACATGGTCTGTTCGAATATTCAAACTCGTCTTGATTGCATTGTCAATCTACTAAATTAACAAGTCATATATTCGTAGATACTCGAAATTTATATATAATAGACTAAGAATTAGTGAAAATAGATCGAGCAAATTCACGAAGAAGCCTCTTAACTCTTAAGACATAATGAAATTTGAATCATCAATCGTTCCATTTGGAGTGTTGCACCATATATGATAACAAATAATACAATATCGATTCACATTCATACTGTAACAGCATGCCCTTGTGACAACGCCCAAAGGCAATGAATACATAATGGTTGACGTATTGAGAAAAAGCTTTTGAATTTTCGCTATACTTAGTGCAAGGAAAATGCTTGTCATACATTATCATTTACAGATTGATAGGGTGGTAATAAATTGAATTAAAACTACTAAGATCTCTTCACCACTTAAATGATTGTGCTTATATAATGTGGGTTAATGACAAAAAGAAATTAAGAGAATTTCTTTTTCTTTTTTATTTGTTTGATGAGATTTTGATTCAATCAAATTTCGTCACATCATACACTACAAAAAAATGAGCTACACTGACCAAAGGTTTAACGACTAATAAATCTTGGTTGCTAAAAGACACAATTAGTGACCAACAAATGGTTCATAGAGGTTTTGATCCGGTAAAATTGGACTAATTTTGTTATGCTCCATTGCGATTTGCGACCAATCCTTGGTCGTTGATCCAGCGAATCAGAGACCATACATTTGATTAGTTGTTAAAGGTAGGGCAAGAAAAAAGAGCCAAAATTTCCCAGAGAAGGAAAACCACTCCAACGATAGGAATTACATACTAAAGAATCCAATGTTGCTGATGACCTATGTTTTGTTAATAAAATTACTTAATTAAATAACAGTTTTATAAACCAAATTCGAAAAGAGAAGTCCGATTAAAAAAAATTAAAAAAAGAAAGAAAAAAACCCACAAAAGGAAGAAAAATATATATATTAAAAAACTGCAAAATAGAGTTTGGACAGTTTGTCAGAGCTTAATATGTATTGTACTGGAAAACTTCAAATCGAGCTAATACCACATTATATAATAGCATTTTCAACGTGAATTTTCATATTGCTTATTGATTAATATTATGAAATAATTATATAGTAAATTTATTAACTGCTAAACTATTGAATCCATAAAAAATATAATAGTTAAAATATTCTAACATACTTATTAGGTTTCTGAATAAATTTTGATATTTTAATAAAATATAAACTAAAGAAATTATTAATAGCATGAATTATATTTAGCATAGCTGAGTTGTTGGACTTATCCACCAAGGGACTCGTAGAATTTCTGTAAATAGCGTTGGGAGAAATCTACCAAAGTTAGACAAATAAAATAAAATCCACATTCCACACATTAAAAGAAATACTTCGAGGAATATATATATTAAAATCTTTTAAAAGAAGTCGACGAACTCTTCTATGCTCTCCTATCAACCAGAGTGCCAATGAGTTTCTGTTGTTCATCGAGGAGGGTCCTCTTCTTGTCTTCCATTTCTTCGATGCGTGCTTGGGCAACTTGTATTGCTGCACTTATTGTCTCATCTCCAGCGTAAAAATGCGGATCACGGTACGTATTTAGCCATTGCTCCCAAAAGAGCTTTTGCTTTTCTACCTTTTGTAATTCTTGTCGAATACTTTTAAGTCTTTCATTTCTTTCACTATCCATTGCTTAAACAACTTTATTATTATTATTATTATTATTATTATTATTATTATTATTATTATTATTATTATTATTATTATTATTATTATTATTATTATGTCTACTTTTAAATCCTTGTCACCCTTCACCGCGTAGAGATTGAAATTATCTTCTATCATTGGAGGCCTTTAACCCTTTTATTAAATTTTGAAGCAGATTATGTAATGAATGATTATAAACTTTATTCTAAATCATTTCGTACTAATTATCAAATATTTAATATTAAGTTCATTAAGATGTTGCGAATAAGAAATTAATTAATAATTGTTAAATATAAAATTAAATACTAAATATTAAGTTCTTAAAAAATTATAAATAAAATATTTTATATACTTATTAGATTTTTGAATAAATAAATAAATTTTGAGTATATTTTTCTTTAATATTATTCAATGCAATTTGATATGTAATTTAATAAATAATTTTTAGTTATATTTTCCTTTAATATTGCTCGATAGAATTTTATTACTTACTGTTATAATGCAAATGAATTATTAATGGGAGAAGTATAAGGAAAAAGAATCTCTACCCCTTGAGACTCTAATACATTGTTATTTTTCAATGACTGGTATTAAACCCCCGTTTAGCCCCCATTTTGTAGTGTTGAAAATGGGCGGAGTAGTATTTTTTTGAAAAATAAGTGATTAAAAAAGAAGGAAAATTTTTCAATTTATGTGTAAGATAATTTTATGGAAGAATGTGTGGTTGAAAATATGAGAGAGAAAAATATAATATAATGTAATAAAAATTAATGAGGGCCAAACGAGGGCTAAAACAATAGTTTAGGTGACACTAATATGACTTTAAGTTAGAGGTATAATTAGATGAATCATTTAATTCTATATTTCGTTCGGTCATCATTTATTGTCATATATATAATGATATTGTAGCATTAATGGTGTTAGATAGTATTTTTCTTTTCAAATATTTGATATTTAAATCCCAGAAATATCATTTTCCATTTCACTTTTATGTTGACGAAATACTTATTGACATCTTATGAATTAGCCAATGGACTCTTTTACTCTCTCTAGTCATTGAGAATAACGACATTCACAATGAGTTCTTATTTATTGAAGACGGCTATTGAAGACGTCATGTCTTCCGCCCTATCCCCAACCCGGGACAGGGAGAATTATTCTTTTTAATTAGCTTCATCTTCTGTGAGTTGGAGGTCTACAGCAATTCTATAGGTACATAATTTGACTTTCATAATTTATATAGAAGACATTTAGTAGCAATCTATTGAATAATGGCAAAATAAAATAAATAAATAAATCAAACCGGATGTTGTCACACCTACATCTCGTGCAATTTACCCTCTTGGGGCATAGTTTAGTGGTGCAAAGGATAGGAGTGAGGTTATCTCACGCCTTATTGACAGCCGCAGTGTGGGGGTCCGATTCGTGAGACATGGAATTGGACTCCTTGTAAGCGCAGTGTACAGACAGTTCTTGTTCCCTGCTCTGATGGGACACATCCCGCAACTTACCTCCCTCATTAAGCTCTAGGGGTGGGGCGAGGAGCCCTCAAAATTGGGGTTCAACCTACATCTTGTGCAATTTTGTGAAGTATTTTTATGTACAAACAAATTAAATGTATATTCTTATTCTATTTAAATAACATTTGATAATCAAATCAGTGATTACTATAATTTATGGTGGAATCATCCTATAGTCAAACCTATTCTAGTCAAATATCACTTTTGCAATACGTGGATTAACCAATATTTATTTAGAGGCCCATTTTAGTTTCTCCAAGCACACTTACGTGTATGTATGTATACCCCAACGCAGTATACATAATTATAATCATGTTTTAGTAATTCACATAAATCTATTTAGCACAAACTGTATTTTTAAGCAATTTTTTTTTTTTAAATTATTGGGTTCCTTTGTTTATGGTAATTAACAACTAGAAATTTGTCACCCAAATGAATAGTTATATGATTGTGAGTTTTATTCATATGAGGATATAAGCAAGTATTATTTATTTTATAATAAAACAATTTATTTGTTAGAAAATCATGATTTTTATTTGTATTGAATTTCTGTTGCCTTACAAATAGTTTGGCTTATGGAATTTAGAAGTTAGTTATCTTGTTTATATGCGAAAAGAAATTTGATGAAATCATTATGGGTCAAAAGTGATTTTGACAATAAGTTTCACTTTTAAATTTC